AGTCGCCTGTTTGTTGCGTCAAGAGGAGGGACATCAGGTGGAGTGGGTCACCTGAAATTTAATTTATTTGAAGGCTTGTCCCGATAACCATTTCTCTCTTGGAATATAGAAATAGCTCAGATGCCCAAATAAGAAAATTATGATATTGTACATCAGGAAAACTAAAGAAGGAAGGAAAAGAAGGACATGGAAGTTCAATCTACATCTAACCTCGGTTTTATACAACAATGCCTGAGTAGTCATTTCGTAGCTACCGTATAGCCACTAAATACATTTTTGCAAAATATTGGCATATTAGCAAGAATGCTGGCGTAAGGGAACATAATACTACTCATGGTACATTAAGGAGGTAGAACAGCTTCGTAAAACTACAGAAATACAGCCCTGAGGCCATGCCCGCTTCCTATCAAACTGATTCAAAATTATATACAACAAGATGTTTTCATATTTTTTCCTCATTTTTAATATGAGTGCGAACAATTAATGAAATATCTGGATTTTTTTCTCAATAATATGATCCGAAATCGTCAATCTTTCAATTTCACGGCTAAACTCGTTAATAGTTTTTAAGCGCGGGCCGCAATGTACCCGTCTTCTAATCATTGATTTTGTTTTCATTTTTCAAAACAATAAATATACAATGTTGGCAGAAGTCGGGCACACTAAAAAAAATGTAATCAGCTGGTAGCTCTACCTTACATTTTTATTGTACCATGGTACTATTGATCAAGTGTAGACAAGCAATGAGCTCTCTTATAGACTAGCAACATTGTCAATAGTAAGTCGACATACGTAGACATTGGAACTAGTGAGTCAGTAGTCCATGAGGGGTCACATTGGTGACATTGGAAAATGCGAGTTATTAGTCCATTTCATAACTATTTGACTTACAGTGAAGTTAGATATTGGAAATAGTATCAAATTTTAGAATAAGTTTAGATTTGTTCGAATTGGTCACCATTGGCACGAATTATGGCCTTCAAAGAACCAATGAAGCCACACATCACATGCTGTCCGAATGTTGCTCTGCGGTATTTTGGCCCATTCCCGGCGAAGCGCTTGCTTGAGGTGATCGACACTTTGGTATTTTTTAGTGCCAACCTTGCTTTCCAAAATACTCCAGGCACAATAGTCCAACGGATTGGTATCCGGAGATTTTGGGGGCCATTGTGCGCTGGAAATGAAGCAAGGAACCTCATTTTGTTACAATTCTTGGGTGGAGCGGGCTGAGTGCGATGCTGCTGAGCCCTGTAGGAATGTTCAAGGTCTGCGGCCAAAATGTTTGCGTGCCCAAGACTTCAATACACCCTCCAGAATATTTTTGCGATAATATTCAGCATTTATTCTCGACTAATACGAGCGGTTATGGCGGCCCACACCATCACCATGGCCGGCGCTTGAGTTCTGGTGGCCAACCGAGGGTGTATATTTTAAGCTGACCCCTTTGGCAAGTAGAAACGATTATTTTGTTTGTTTACAAACTGCTGGACAACGAATGTTTTCTCATCGGAGAAAACCGAATTCGGCAGTTCACCACTTTCGGCCAAGCGAAGCAACTGTTTAGCTCTTTTGAGTCTATTTTCCTTCCGTTGCGGTGTAAGTTCTTACACTTTTTGGAATTTCAATGGCTTTACGCCGAGCTCATTTTTCAATATTTGCCGAATGGAATATTGCGATATGTTCAGCTCACGAACCATTTTCTGGCCACTGCGATGTGGGTTTCGATCAAGTCGAACCATTTCTTCTAATGTTGTTGTCCGTCCATTTGCTTGACGTCGGGCTACGCTACCAGTATCGAGCTACGGTAACGAGCGATGGTACGAGACACAAAAGATTTATTCACATTTAAATGCTGGAGTGCTCTATCGATAGCCACTTTTGGTTTTCCAGCCAAATATAATGAAATCACACTACCACGCTTGAATTCTGGTAGCTGTGACTGGAATAATTAGCTGTCACTGGAATAATTTTAACAGCTGTCGGACGAGTGGCTTAGAAGTGACAGCAGTTTTAATGTTTATTAAGAAAAGAGTCCAATCTCCCTCTTCGATTGTCAACTCCATTTTTTATTCGGTGATGAGAAAAGAAACCCAACCGAATGATTAGGCTGTTGATTCAATTCTCGATCCGGCTTGAAGGATCAATGTAAATGCGAATAAAATCCAATCTCCCTCTTCGATTGTCAATTCTATTCTGGACCCCGCTTGGAGGATCAATGTTTTTTTAATAATGAGAATAGAAAACCAACCGAATGGTTTGGCTGTAGATTCTATTCTAGTTTTTATTTAAAAAATATGTTTCTTACTACTGAAACTAATCTAACTTAACCTAATCGCAGCCACACAATTATTCTTATCTATTCTAATATTGAATGGAAAACATTGCAGAGCAGCTTGACATTTCATTCAAGTGGTCTTGTACATCTGCTGAACGCATCGATATCTGCGCCTGTGGGTCAAAACCTTGTCGTATGGGTCAGCGCACTAGATCACCGAATTGTTCACATGTGGTATTTTGTGGCAGCTGGGAGATATGTAATTTTAGAATATTTATTGTTTATTCCTAGATTTTCCCAGCGTCTCTACCGCACTCAAAGGTATGTACAAAGTATTTTGTACACTTAAGTTGGCTGCAGTTTTTTCATTTCACCCTGTATATCATATATATTTATATTATATATATATATATATATTAAGGTCCGATACGAAATGGACAATATTGGGCCATACCTTAGGAACCTACTCCATAGAGGGTCAACAGTTTGAATAATCATAACAGAAGTCAAAACATATTTAAATCATCGAACACGGGCTGAGGGTGTTGTGTTTGTTTTTATACCCTCCACCATAGTATGGAGGATATATTAAGTTTGCCATTCCGTTTGTAACACCTCGAAATATACATTTTAGATCCCACAAAGTATATATATTCTTGATCAGCATGAAATTCTATGTCGATTTAGCGATGTCCGTCCCTCTGTGGAAATCACTCTAGCTTCCGAACGAATTGAAGTAGATTGATAAAATTTTACTCAAATGTATATTATGTATTGCAGGACTTTTGGTATAGCCCCCATATAACGGTACCTCCCGATATTCGGTATTTTGATGATTTTAACGACATTATTCACCTGAATTGTTTCAAGTTTGGTATTTGATGTTCGTAATGGATACTACAGCCTATGGCAGAAAATTGTCTGTGCAGGTCCACGTCTTCGCATAGCCCCCATAAAGTACCTCCCGATATTCGGTATTTTGATGATTTTAGCGACATTATTTAACGGAATTGTTTAAAATTTGGTATTTGAAGTTCGTAATGGATACTACAGCCTACGACAGAAAATTGTCTGTCCAGGTACACGTCTTCGTGTAGCCCCAAAAAAAAAACGGTACCCCCCGATATTCGGTATTTTGATGACTTTAGCGACGTTATTTACCGGAATTGTTTCAAATTTCGCATTTTAAGTTCGTAATGGATAGTACAGTCTATGACAGAAAATTGTCTGTGCAGGTCCACGTTTTATAACCCCCATGGTACCTCCCTATATTCGGTATTGTGTTGGCTTTAGCTACATTATTCACCGATTTTTTTTTTCTAAGTTTCGCATTTGAATATTGTAATGGCTTATGACAAAAGTTACCTATGCAGGTCCTCGTCGTCCTATAGACCCTAATATAATGGCCACGTTCGGTATTTTTAAAATTTTAACAGAATTTTTTAATGGAGTTTATTGTTTTTGAGATTTTCGAAATTCATTCCAAATGGTGGAGGATATTAAAAGTTCGGCCAGCTTTTTTACTTGTTTGTGTATAGTGTTTGTAATGTGTAAAGTTCCAATTTTTGTTTCCACCCTGAGGTGAAAACCAGACCCTGAGACCGCTAGCAGACGGACGATCGCTTTTAATGCCGCCTAACAGGGATATGTTACATGTTAACAGAAAAGTTCTGCAAAAGAGATCTATTCGAGAGAGAAATTTTGACAGGTTTTTTTAATGAGAGAAATTTCATATTGTATTCACATGCAGCTCTTCTTCTTCGACAATCAATCAGCTGTTTTCAATTATAGACGCATCGACACAGCTGATGGGACAATGAACTGTCAAACCAATTTTGGATTGGAAAATGTTGAATGAAAAGTTATTTAAATTTGTAAAAATTGTTGAAAAACGGGAATTATAATAACCTCCGAATGACGTCGTATAAGAAAACATATAAAAATCTACTTATATTTGAAAAAAAAAAAAAAAATTAAAATTTTTTGACATATCAATGTTCCCAAGCGTTGATGCATCTACCTGTATTATTCTGCCATGTTATGAAATAAGCAATTTCAGCTGTTTTCAATTATATAGTTATTATTATGATATAAGCAATTTCGTAATACCCGGTTGAACTCTCAGACAATAAATTTTGCATTTTAATGTCTTATTGGATCATATATGCAAATAAATCCAACTAGAACTAATTATTATGCTCTACCCACTACTAAATTTTTTTCAATTTAATTTATTTCGCGTTTTCTTTTTTGTATTCTTTTCATTGAAGAATTTCTGCTTGGATCTTTGAAATGAATACTAATTTCATGGAATATATAAAGCGAAAGGTGTTCTAAGTCAATAAAGTAAACACATTCGGCTTTTTGCGAAATTATTCTAAAAAAAACTTTCAAGTGTTTTCAATGGAAAACATGCGGAGAATTTTAATGGCCCCTAAACTACAATTGATTATATTATTTGCAATTCTAAGCCGGCAAACTATTTAAGATTCAACGCCATTTATTGCGAAAAAAATGGAGGAAAAACAAACAAGTGGCAGGCATTGTAATCTAATCTCGGAACAATGTAGCCCCATTGTGGTTTATCATCCCCCCCCCCCCTCCACACAGACAAGGGGGCATATCTAACATATGAATATGTTTTCTTTTTTGCTCTCATATTTATTAGCTATCACATTACGTTGCTAAAAATAACAATTTCTTCTGTTTTGTTGATTTTTTCCAGTTGGGTTGTCTTGTTCTCTCACCCAGCCGATTTTACACCCGTCTGCACCACGGAATTGGGTCGCATTGCCGTGCATGCCCCCGAATTCAATAAGCGCAACACCAAACTTTTGGCCCACTCTGTTGATCAGCTGAAGTCCCATGTCGATTGGGTTAATGACATTAAATCCTATTGCCTGGATATTCCCGGTGAATTCCCCTACCCCATTTTGGCCGATCCCACTCGCGAATTGGCTGTACAATTTGGCATGTTGGATGAGCAACAACGTCAAGATCCTGAGGTGGGCAAGACCATTCGTGCTTTGTTCATCATCAGTCCCGATCACAAGGTGCGCCTGTCCATGTTCTACCCCATGTCGACTGGTCGCAATGTAGAGTAAGTTGTTAAATTTTCACCTATTTTTTTTTTAAATTATTTTTAATAATATTTTTACCATTTTAGTGAAATCCTCCGCTGCATTGACTCTTTGCAATTGACCGATCGCCTCAAGGTTGTGGCCACCCCTGCCAACTGGACTGTAAGTTGAAATTTTAATTTTATTTGGGAAATTTATTTTCTTAATTCAATTTTTTATTTACCTCTGTTTTTAGCCTGGCACCAAGGTCATGATCATTCCCTCCGTCACCGATGAGGAAGCCCACAAGTTGTTCCCCAAGGGCTTCGATAAGGTCTCCATGCCCTCGGGCGTTAACTATGTTAGAACCACAGAAAATTATTAAATAATTTTTTGTTTTATAAAAATATGTAGATTGTTTTTATTTTTTTTCTCTCACTATCAGTGGTTTGTGTATTTTTTAATAATTATTTTAATAAAATTATAAAGATGTTAATTTAAAAAAAAAACTCTACTTCAACTTGTAAATTTATAAAAAAAAAACTTAAAACTCGATTTAAAGCCAAATCGTTCATCCTCCGAATCCCAAAAATTTGGTGTGCGCCTCTTAGATGGTTAGCCTAAAATTAAATATCGGTAGTAAGAAGAAGAAGAATGTTGCCAACTATTCTGAGAAAAACAGCTGATGCTTAAATTGCAACAAGGGGAGAAATAGAATCAAAAATTAAAGGAAAGGGTCAAAAGAATTTCCTGGAAAATTTTGACAGGAAAATCTGTCCTTTTTGATCTGACCTGCGAGAAGAATGGATGTGTGGCTTCAACCACTGTGAATATTGTAGCTACAATCATTAAAATACCGAATATCTGAAGATACAGTTATATGGGGGTTATGCGAAGACTTAGACCTGCACAGACAATTTTCTGTCTTGGGCTGTAGTTTCCATTACGAACTTCAAATACCGAATTTGAAACAATCCCGGTGAATAATGTCCCTAAAATCATCAAAATACCGAATATCGGGAGGTACCGTTATATGGGGGCTATACGAAGACGTGGACAATGCACGGACAATTTTCTGTCTTAGGCTGTAGTATCCATTACGAACTTCAAATACCGAATTTGAAACAATTCCGGTGAATAATGTCGCTAAAATTTCTTCATTTTTCATTTCGCTTCATCACAATAATTTTAGTCTATCATAAACTCTCTCTGTTCAGTTTTGTCGTTTAATTGAAATTTGAACTAAGCTTTACAATTACATACGTTACGTTGCCTATACGTTACGATTAATCCAATGATAGATGTCCTAATAGCAATTATTCATGCCATTCTTTTCCTAACACTCTTCACTTATTTTTTTTTTTCGTTTCTGACTATTGCTTTGCCCATGACATTTATTTGAACCTGATTCGTATTTATTTTTCTTTAATATTAAGCAAAATTAAACCCAAGCTTTATAAAAAACATAAATTACGTGGGGTGTACGTTTCGTTCATGACTTTATCCAATATTTTATGATGCATTCCTTCTTTCCCTAGCGTCCTTTCTCTTTTCGTTATTACCATCTTTTTGACGCAAATTACAGCTAGATTTCACATTGTCATGGGTTACGTTGCATATACGTTACGTTCACACCATAACCAATTCATTCTTCTTATATTAATTCGATTCCTGATTTTCTCTCCATTCACAGCTGGTTTTGTGATTTTCTTTCTTTCTCTCTCTCTCCCTCGTTTCCTTAGTACTAAAGTTGCACAGTTCTAAAAGTCCAAAGTCGATCTGTGCATCCCTATATTTGTCGTTCGTGGTTGTAGTCGTTGACGGTCTAAAAAATTTTTGTGCAAAGGAAGAAAAAAATAAGCAAACAAAAAGTCCTTTTTTACATTGGATTGTTGGATTAAAAAGACAAAAGATTGCAAGAAAAACGAACTTGGAAACGCGAATAATCTGCAACGAGACAGAAAATTACAAAATTGGCAAGGTGAATAGCATAAAAAATGCAATGAAAATTTGTGGTCATTGTGTGACTTCGGTTGTGAACAGAAAAAACGAAGAAAATTATAAGGAAACAAAAAATGCAGTAGCAAAGAAACAAAGACACGACAAGAAAAGAAAACAATTATTGAATTGTCATTGTCAGCAGCAGCAGTTGCAATAACAACAAGAAAAGTGGAAAAAATTATAAAAGAAAGCAATTGCCCATTGGCCTTTTTTGTGGGCAATGGCAAAGCAGATGATATGATGACAATCAGATCAGATGGCCAAAAGTGGAGAAAGGGATTTTTGAAATCCAAATAAGTTGTGTCCACACAGCAAACATATTCTTTAAATAAAATAACTAAATCTTCCAATTAGAAGATATAAAAATAGGGAATAACATACAAAAAATATACGCATATCAGAAATAGATAAAACGGAGAAGCATGAACAGCCCAGCAAAAGAAAAACAATAAAAGAAACAAAGCAGCCAAACAGATAAAACGTCAAAAAATTGACTGTTTGCTGGCTGATTTCTGGCTGTTATTGTGTGTGGAGGAAGTTGTTTTGTTGTTGTTTTGGGACTATTGTTGCTTTTGCTCTTTTAGTTGGTTTTGTTGTTGTTGCCCCTTCGTGGCTCTATGTGTGTTTCCCAATCCCCAATATTTGAAAGTGTGTATGTTGCTGTTGCTTGCTTTTATTTGTGTTGTGTGTTTTATTTTAGAGTTGTTCGTTCGATTGTGTAGAAGAGTGTGAGAAAGAGAGAGACGTCTCTGTGGGGGAAAGAGAGTGAGTAAAGTCAGTGATTTGTGTGTTGTGTATGGAAAACAAAGAACAACAGTAATTTTCCTCTTGTTTCTCTGTCAAAAGTAATGCGATTCACTTGAAATTTTATTGTGCAAAGTGTAGTTTTTATGTGTTTTAAAATAAATTAAAAACAAGATTATGGACTACAAGAAGTACCAAAAGGAATGAAGAAATAATCGGTTGCATTCATTTACAAAAAAGATGTACGTATGGGCTGCTGATATGTACATAACTTTGGCAACCAATTGAAACAAAGAAATTTTTCGTGTCACATAAGTCATAAATGTTTCGATGTGTGTGTGTTTGTGAAATGTAATGGGGCCGAGGATCTCTATATTTATTCGATGAGATCAAAAGATGTCCCCCTTGAAAATCCCTTCTAAAGTCATATTTTGTTTCAAATCAATTTTGCGGAAAATTTGCCCTCAAATCGTCTAAAATTCAACTGTATGCATTTCATGGGAGAATTTAGGTCACCCTAGCCTTGACCACATTTACTGCGCACATTATGCATTTTCATGTTTTTTAATGCAATTTACATTGTTTTTTTGCACATTTTTCTTTTTGTGCAAATATGCAACATCAATGGAAACGAACGATGTGCTGCAGGCATTTTATTCAAAAAATTGTAAAAATAAATTGTTCCCCTTAGTGACAGCAATTTTTGGTTACATGTCTTCCACATGCCCAGTATGCCGTCATTGGCATAAATGCCGTGGAACTATTTCAATATGCAATTGCAAATTGTTTTGTGTATTTGATTTTATTTGTGATTTCTACGCATAAATTGAAAAAATGAGTCATTTCCAATCAGAGCCAACACATTGCACATCTCAAAATTTGAGCGAATCCTTCCTCTTCACACAAGAGCAGGCACCCAAATGAAACAAAAAATCAATTTGTGCCAAATTAATATTGTTCGGTGTTCTAAATGAACAAGAGAAATGCTCGTTGTGATATCTAGTAATTTTGTCGGGTTTGTATCGTATAACTAAATATTGGAATGGAGTTTGTTATGTCTACAGCCTATCAGTCAACATTTTGCAGATTGTCGGACGAATTTAGTAATATTTTCAGATTTCAGGTAGCAGGGAGATAGAAAATCTTTTCGAGGCTTATTAGAGTAACTTCTCTGTTCTTGCTTCAAAATCCCTTAAATTTTAATTTTGATCAGTATTTCAAGCTGATGTCAAATGAATAAAGGTATTGCGTATTTTAATTGAACTTTTATTCTACGCAATAACTATTTAATATCTTAAAAAATCTTAATCTCACTTATCCAAAGACGACTACCCCAAGATTCTACGGGTCACATTTGAAGTATGATCAGGAAAACATGGTGCCTTCTGCTTCGTTGTTACCGAGGGAGTCAACAAACCATTATAGGTAGGAACAAGGTCCTCAAGGCGCTAACCGTCAGCACTTGGGGCACGGATAAGAAAACCTTTTTGACCTCTTATAAAGCGATAGGTCGGTCTGTGTTTAGCTATGCGGCTCCAGTGTGCAATGCAGTGGAAAACTATTCAGAACTTCTAAAATGCCGCACTAGGAACTGCAACAGACTGGCTCTTCATGACTCCTGTGGACCATCTACATAAGGAAACGAAGGTTCTTCCATACGCTTTCGTTGCAGTACCTGCTTGGGTGTTATCGTGGAAGTCATCCTAACCAACATTTGGTGGACAGAACTTCCCCACCCAGGAGTGTCAGAAAGGACCTGCATGATTTAGAGACAGGTCCAGCGATATAAGAGAGAACCCCTAGATCGTGAAGCCTATCAAGCGGGTCTGAATAGCATTCATACTGAGGTAGTTAACACTTACAGCATGAATGCCAATCTCGGAAACCCCCCATCCCTTGCAGCTGAAGAACGTCGGCTGCCTGGCAAACCAGGGTAGCTTTGGCTCAACTACATTCAGGATGGTGTAGTCGTCTCAATTCGTATTGGGCATGAATTGACGAAGATGTGCGGAACGCCTGCCCAGCATGCGATACAAGCCCACAGAATACGCAGCATCTGTTCAATTGTCCAGCCAAGTCTACCCAACTCCATCCTGAGGATCTCTGGCTACAGCCCATAAAGTACCAGAATTCCTAATCCTGGACTTCGAAGAAGATTTGCTTTTCCAAATCCTTGAAAGACATTTTTCCTCACGACATCTGGTGTTCATAACAATTATGCGAAAAGGATCTGTTCCCCCCGAGTCTTGTCTACAACTGGTCCTCCTGTTAAAACTCAAATATGAGAAGAGCAAAGGGAATTCCTACAGAGCAATTTCACGTATATTGCTATTCGAAATGTAATTGAAAGCTGGCGGGGAAATTGGGGAGAGTTCTTAAACTTAAAAAAATCGTGCAATATAGGAGACTGGTCGCTGTTCTCGTCTGTTGTTGACTTGATTCCTTCTTCCTCTTGACCCCTGTTAAGAAAGTCTTTTTCCAATCTACACCAGCTTTAAAATATAAAGCAATCAAGATCACATAAAGGGTATTCAGATCAATTTATTACCAGACTAGACGGAAATTTATCAACGTTGCTAGATCCAAGACAGGACCAAATCCGTTTCAGGACATTTCGAGTCGATCTAGCGATGTCCGTCCGTTTGTCTGTCTGGCTGGCTGGATGCGCACGAAGGGATCCAAAATTGGTATATCGTAATATTATTGTCAAACTTAGATCGAGTTTGGAGATGGGCAATATCGGTCCACTCCTTCCAGTACCTCCCACACAAAATGTCAAAGTTTTCAAAGAAAATAATTTATTGCACAGAAAGAGAAAGGATAATCCGATTTTGCTCCATCTTTGCGAATCCAAATATTTTTATCAGTGCTAGGTCAGGTGCGAAAATTGCCAATATCGGTCCACTCCATCAGGTACCTCCCCCATAAAGGTTCAACAATTTGTATAATTACAACTCTCGTAAAATGTGATGTAAGAGTCCGAGTGTCTTCATATTTCATATTTTATTAACCAAAGATCTGGTTCCAAGATGGAATACATCGGTCCACTCCTTCTGGTACCTCCCCCACAAAAGGTCAAAATTTTCAAAAAACAAAAAAATATATTTTTTGTACAGAAAAGAAGCAATAATCCGATTTTGTTCCAACTTTGCAAATCCTAATATCTGCGTCAGTTTTAGGTCAGGTGCAAAAATGGATATTATCGGTCCACTCCATCAAGTGCCACCCCCCACAAAGGGTAAAAATTTTGAATACTACTCCACAAACCGACAAATACTTTTAACTTGTTTTTAAATACTTCTCATATGCACAACATCAATCATATTTTGTTGCAAAACTTTCCGAAACTTTGGATATACAAAAATATATTTAATAAAATTGATTTTGTTTACTACTCACCTATTTTGCCTTATTACAGGCTCGCTACATCTTCTCTATACCGAGAGCTATTAAACCAACTCTTACATAGAAAAGGGAAAACAACGAGTTCTTCGAAATACACATGTAAACCGAGTGCTTTTCGGAAAAACGAAATTCACAAACATTCGAAAGAAATAGAGCAAAGCGTCGAGACAGGGATCAACAGACGAACCTCCCCACATCAGAATTGCTAGGCAAAAATAAAAAGAAAATACACCACAATCAAAGAATAAAAATCGAAACAATATGGATGCTGAAAATGATAACGATCAACCAAATTCGTCATCAGCTTCGGCATCGGTAACGCCAAGTAGTAGCAATAACAGCAGCAGTAGTAATCTTCTGGGCCATTTGCCAATGTTACCGTTCATGAGGTCAACGGACGATGATGATGAGGATGGTAGTGCCGCCAATGTGGGCAATCGCATCAATGATAATAATGATGATGGTGAAGATGATGGAATGCATGAAGAGCCAATGCCACTGCAGCAGGATGAGCAGCAGCAGCATCAGCTGCCTCAACAATCATCGTCGTCGACATCGACGCATGAGCCTGGCATGGCCGTTGACAACAATATGCCAATGGCTCCAACCGCAAATGCCAACTCTGACGGCCTTGCAATGGGGGAGGAGCCTATGGTATGTCCCGAGCCCTTAGCTGTTGTTTCTCCTTCAATGTCATCTCAATCACCAGTAGCTTTAGAAGAGACAAATCAAAATTTTCCATTGACAGCTAATGGCGCTTCTTTTTTTCTTCCACCTCCCACTAATTCTCACACTTCTTCCTCCACCGCCACAAACAACAATTCCCTACAATTTTTATTTACTCCTACCGCATACCCCAATGATCGGTCAATGTTGGAAGAACAACATTTCGAACAAAATCAAAATCATTTAACCCAATTTGGAATACCAAATGTAAATGCTACTCTTTCCTCAACTGCTGCTCAGCAAAGGCGGCAAAGAAATTCTCCAGACATTTCTGGGCTTGGTACTAATAACACACCACAATTAGCGAGAGCCTTAACGCCTTCACCATCAACATTGTCATCATTATTATCATCATCTGATTCACCAACACCACCACCATCATCATCATCGGCTTCAACTTTGAATTCATTTCATCAGTCCTTATATCACTTTAATCTTGCACATTCTACTACCCAAGCACTGCCAAATCTCACGCCTTTATTTATTCGCTCCTCTTCTTTATCTTTTTCTTCACAGCAGCAACAAGAACAACCGCATCAAGCTTCACCTCCACCGCCGCCACCACTACAACAGCCATCTAATTTAGAAACATTTTCATCATCAACACCGCCGCGGGAACTGCCCCAACAGCAGCAGCAGCATCAGCAACGTAACGATATTGCCGATACCTTGGATGCATCGGCTGTGGTTGTGCCATCAGCATTAGGAAATAGTGTTGGCCGTCAAGGATCACCAGCACGTTTAGATCAGGGTGATCAGGGACCACCACCACCAGCCTTTGACTTGGACAACCATATACGAATTGATGATAACGATATAGCATTGGATGATAACGACAACAATGATTTTGACATTGACTTGAATGCTCAGAATGAGAGCCTAGCAGCGGACAGAGGAAATGCTTCAACATCCAATCGGGAGCATCATCAACAGTCACCCACGCGAACAGAAGAGCAGCAGCAGCAACAGCAAGAAACATTAGATATCTCCCCTTCAGGATCGGCTGGTACTTCAGGACAACAACAACAACAACCACCACCACCAACAACACTGCCTTTGTTGCTTTATCAACAGCCACAACAACAACAACAACTACAAACTGAAGAATCTAAACATTTACCGCCGTCCTACGACCATCGCTATCACCACAATCCCCGCTCATACCACCATCACCAGCATCACTCGTCAAGTGGTTCGTCTGGTTATCCATCCTACGAATTTGGTGGCACCACAAAAAACTCCAACGGTACCAACACCAGCAACAACTCATCAGCAATGTTTGCCCAGTCGAGCGGCAGTAGCAACAGCCATAATGCCGGCGAACGCAATGGTTCCACAGATAATGGCAGTGCTGCCAATGGTGGTGGCAGCCCCACTGAACCCGTTGTCGATCGCCTAAAATTACTTTATCCAAATGTCAACGAAAACGAAACACCATTGCCGCGTTGCTGGAGCCCGGATAACAAATGTTTGTCGATCGGTTTGTCACAGAATAATTTGCGTGTCCATTTCAAAGGTGAGTGAGAATTTTGTTTTCGTCGGAGATTTGTTTTCGAAGTGGGGAAATTTTAAGTCAGACTCAAGTTTTAGGTCAGATTTCGTCAGGGAAACTTGAGACACTTCCTAGAAAGGTTTTTGCTATTTTGCCTTCAATGTCCTACAGCGAGTTATACATGAAAAAATGTTCAACGCTTCACCTTCCTAGAGCTCCATTTTTGGCTTATTTTTGGCAAGCTTTTCGAGCTAATGGTCTGTGGTTTTGCCCTTATGTGATGTAAAAGTCCGAATGTCTTTAAATTACACAAATCACAATATTTTTATTATTCCAAGGTCTGATGTGAAAATGGAATATATCGGTCCAATCCTTCTGGTACCTCCCCCACAAAGCGTTAACATTTTGAACACTGATAAAGCTCATAAAACACGAAATTAACATCCGATTCCCTTCAGGCTTGGCATATCTCAATATTTTTATCAACACAAGATCTGCTATAAAGATGGTAGAGATCGGACCATTACTTCTGGTACCTCCCTCACAATGCGCCAACATTTTGAATAACCAAAACGATCATAAATTACGAAATAAGCATCCGGTTATCTTCAAATTACACACTTCACAATATTTTTATTAACCCAAGATCTTTTGTGAATATGGAATATATCAGTCCACTATTTCTGCTACCTCACCCACAAAGGTTCGAAAATTCATGAAGATTAAAAAGTATGAAATTACCATCCGATTCCATTCAGACTTGGCACGTCTCAATATTTCCATTTACACAAGATCTGTCATAGAGATGGTAGAGATCGCATCAATCCTTATGGAACCTCCCCCACAAAGGGTCAGTCTTTTGAATAACCAAACGATCATAAAATCCGAAATAAGCATCCGGTTCCCTTCAAATTACACACATCACAATATTTCTATTAACCCAAGGTCTGGTGTGAAGATGGGATGTATCGGTCCATTCCTTCTGGTAACTCGCCCACAAATATTCAGAATTTTGAACATTCATGAAGCTCATAAAACGCGATAATAACCTCCGATTCCATTTAGACTTGGTACATCTCAATATTTTTATCAACATAAGATCTGTTATAAAGATGGTAGAGATCGGACCATATCTTTTGGTACCTCCCCCACATAGGGTTCAAGATTTGGAAAAACAAAACGTTCAAAGGAAGCGAAATAAGCATCCAACTCTCTTCAAATTTCACACATCCAAATATTTTTGGTAACGCAAGATCTGTTGTGAAGATGATGATATATATCTGCCAACCCTCAACTGATACTATTTTACTTTTTTGAAATGTCTTCGAAAGACATTTGATGCTATTTCGGTGATGTAGGATATTATTCTGTCTTTTGTCCTTTCCTTAACTCCCTTATAATAAAGTGCTTAGGTTGAAATTTAATGTTTTGTATAATCCCGTATTAGAGGGAAGACGCTCTGTTTTGGTGTAACATTTTAAAATCCCACTATTTGTACCAAACCTTGATCAATCACAAAAAAATTGGCAATATCGCTCTACTCCATCTGATTTCTCATTACCCTTTCTGCAATTTAATTCGAAGAAAAATCAAAGGAGAACAAAACAAAGACCGCGACCTGTTAGGATGTTGACCGACAAGTAACAATAACAACGTTTAAGGAGCAATGAACTTGAAGACAATACAGGGCAATGAAACTATGTTTGTATCACCATAGCAAGAAACACAATATCCTGAAACATTCAACTTATTTGAGGGATAAATGACAGGAACACCACAAACGGTAAACAGGAATAGGTGATAGATAGTAGGTGTGTTATGTTCTCCCAGCAAAAAAACAAGTGAAACAAACAAAAGTTATTTGTTGTAACTTACTGTCCGTGTTGTCGTGTTTGTTTGTTTGAACTTTGTCGGTCAATAGAAGTGGTCAAACGGGTTGTCGGGGTGGGCAATGATGGTGATCGTTACAGATGGCACAAGCGCGAGTCGCTTCAACACCACCTTTACATCATACCCACACATGTGGTGGCTATGAACTCGTGTAATCACGTACCACATATGTTGGGGGGATACATACAAACAAACATACTACACCTATATATTGTAAATTTACAAAATACTATAAATTGTTATATAGCACATATGTACATACAAACTTACATATGTATTTATATACGATCGAAGGGGCCCATATTGCAACACAACAACGTTGGGGTGTTGCTGCTGCATTTTGTAATTGAAACCAGTTGCAATTTTCCAATACCTTTGGTTGCGAGTACTATTGCTGGGGCAGTGAAAATTATTAACAATGAACAACAAAGGCCGTTGAACAAAAACAAAGCCAAGCCGTTCGTCATATCATTGAAATAAAAATAAAAAACCACTACGTAGTTTCTTGTAATATTCATGCCTTCAATGTCTTGTTATCGCTCCTCTTCTGTCCGCAGTAATGTCATTTCCATAATACTTGAACTTATTATTATTTTTTCTACTTTGCCCGCAATTTGTAATAAGAAACGTAAATGCAGCAATGAATTATCGCAGTTAGCCCCATTTATTTGTTATTTATATTTTATTCATCTCCCCTTTTTTGTGTTTTTATGCCCATTTTCTTTAACAATTTCCCCTTCTTATTTGTTTGTTGTTGTTTTTCTATTTTTATTTTGTTACGTTTTGCTCTTGTCATTCGCGTGCTTGTGTTGCTTATTGTTGTTGTTGTGGTTTTGGTTGGTTGATTAGGGAATAAACAACAGAAAGAGAGAGAGAGAGACATGAAACAGCTGATTCTGTTTGCCATAAATGTCAAACAACGACTGAGTAGGGTTAGGGTTGCCAAAGTTATTGGATATGTATTAATGATGTAAAGTCAGAGATGGGCATAATGCACTGTATTTTAAGTGCACTAATAATTTCACTATCACTGTTCATTTAGTGGTAGTGCAATTTTAAATTTCACTACCACTAAAGGGTTAGGGTTAGTAAAATAAATTGCACTACCACTAACCCGTTAGTGATATTTAAAAAAAAAATGCACTACCACTAAATTTTAGTGGTAATGAATTTTCAATAGCACTACCACTAAATTTAGTGGTATTTAAAAAAAACTTGCACTAAATTAGTGGTATTTCATAATTATTTAATTCTTAGTGCACTAAAAATTTAGTGCAATATGCCCAACCCTGTGTAAAGTAAAATAAATTTCATTACATCCCGGTCATATAATAAAAACGCAGAACGAAAAAATATCAGCCATATCCTTTTCATGATTTTATGCCTAAGTAATTTTAAGATTTACTTAGGCATAAAATCTATGTTCTCGATAGCCTTACGTATTCTGCCTTTAAAGTCTTTAATCGCGGCTGATTGATAGTGTAGATCTCAACCTTCACGTTGGCCCAAAGGACAAATGGAGCAGGTCTATAATGGAATAATGGTTTCTTGGCTTGTGTGGGACGGATTCGCCGTCGTTTTGAATACAGAAGTGGTCTAAATTAATCTTCGACCGAAAAAATCATTAATCATTGTCGAAAAAATAAGTTCAGCCAAATGCCATAATTTTTACATTTTTTTAAATTTTATTGAATGAAGGCAAAAAATGTCGGAAATAACATCAAATTTTAGAATAAGAATTGGTCACCTTTGGCCCAAATTATGGCCTTCAAACGGCCAATGAAACCGTCACACGCTGCCCGAATGTTGATCTGCGGTATTTTGGCCCATTACCGACGAAGCGCTTGCTTGGGGTGATCGACACTTTGGTATTTTTTAGTGCCAACCTTGCTTTCCAAAATACTCCAGACACAATAGCCCAACGGATTGGTATCCGGAGATTTTGGTGGCCATTGTGCGAAAGAAAAGAAGCGAGGAACCCCTTTTTGAAACCATTCTTGGGTGGCGCGTGCTGAGTGCGATGGTGCTGTGTCCAGTTGGAATATCCAAGGTCTGCGGCCAAAATGTTTACATGCCCAAGGCTTTAATACCCCCTCCAGAATATTTTCTCGATAATATTCGGCATTTATTCTGATGCCACGGTCGATTAATACGAGCGGAAAACGACCATCGGCTGTTATGGCGGCCCACACCATCACCATGACCGGCGCTTGAGTTCTGGTATCTGGTGGCCAACCGAAGGTGCACATTTTCAGCTGACCTTTTTGGCAAGTAAACACGATCATTTTGTTTGTTTACAAACTGCTGGACAAGGAATGTTTTCTCATCGGAGAAAACCAAATTCGGCAGTTCACCACTTTCGGCCAAGCGAAGCAACTCTTTAGCTCTTTTGAGTCTATTTTCTTTCTGTGACGGTGTAAGTTCTTGCCTTTCTGGAATTTCAATGGCTTTACCCCGAGCTAATTTTTCAATATTTGCCGAATAAAATATTGCGATATGTTCAGCCAATGTTCATTTTTCGGCCAATGCGACGCGGGTTTCGATCAAGTCGCTTCTTTACTTTTCGAATTATTTCTACTGATGTTGCTGTTTTCTTCCGTCCACTTCCTTGACGTCGGGCTACGCTACAAGTATCACGGTAACGAGCGATTGTACGAGACACAAAAAATTTTTTCACATTCAAATGCTGGAGTGCTCTAGCGATAGCCACGTATTGTTTTCCAGCCAAATATAAAAAAATCACACTATCACGCTTGAATTCCATCTCGAATAACTTTTTTACTGGGAAATTCTCACCAAAATGCTTTTTTACGCTGGTAAATAGTATAATGAGCTGTCACTATAATAATTTTAACAGCAGTCGGATGAGTGGCTTAGAAATGTCAGCAGTCTGAAGTTGGTTGCACTTTTTTCATCTCGCCCTTTATGTATGTAGGAGGGTATAAAAAATTAATTAAAAATAATTAATATGAACCGATCTGAACAAAATTAGGGGAAGGTTTTTTCCAGTCCATATCTGATATCTTGCACATTAAAGCTTTGGGGGGATTTAAAATTAAAATCGAGTTATACATATGTATATGAAGGCTTTTATAGATCTGGACAGATTTTTAGCAAATTTGACAGACTAGTTTACTCTGAATTCAATTGTATGTGCTAATTTTTTATAATTTTATGCCTGTCGGCCGAAGGAAGTATGTGTCTATCATGTCTACTTCTGAAGGTACTTAAAAAAACCAAAAACAATTCCTTGTAATACAATGTGGTGTATGTGGTGTAGGGCATACAAATCTGATAGGGTAACTCTGTGCACAATCCTTTAACTCTCGCTCTCTCAATTAGTTGAAATCTCTCGCTCTCTGTATCAATTTTACATTAATTACAATCAATCTCCTTGGTGGTATATAAATTTCATTGCATTTTATTTGTTCTTTCTTTTCAATTCATCACTTTGACGACGCTGCTAAATAAATATCCATCAATACTTTATCTCAAATGAATGGAATCAATCGAAACTATTTGGCCATGATAAATGCAACTACCTTGGCGAGGAGTAGGCAAACAAAATAATGATGCAGCTTCTGTGCGTACTGCCCATCCAATACCACCCGCTTGTGGCATCTATTATTTCGAAGTGAAAATTATTTCTAAGGGCAAAAATGGTTACATGGGCATTGGATTGACAGCTGAACACTTTCGTATGAATCGTTTGCCAGGTGAGTTTTTGTGTGTTGTGTATAAATGCATAAATAATTTGCTTGAGTTTACTGATCTCCTGCACTAGACCCCAGGAGGATGGGAAGGTGTCATGTTATTGACTTTTTTAAATATGTATTTCTTTTCAATATTTTCTTGTCCTTAGGTTGGGATAAACAATCTTATGGTTATCACGGCGATGATGGCAATTCATTTTCCTCCTCGGGTCATGGACAATCGTATGGACCCACATTTACCACAGGCGATATTATCGGCTGTTGTGTAAATTTCGTCAATAACACATGTTTCTATACAAAGAATGGCACCCATTTGGGCATTGCGTTTAGAGATTTGCCGGTAAGTAGTTTAGAGTGCTTTAACTATTTACAAAGAATTTAATGATTTATTTGTATTTAAAGTAAACATCTTTGGAGAAATTTATCCGGTTTTTTATACTCTCAGCCATATGGCTAGAGAGGGTATATATCATTTGATACGGCCAAAACGTAACTCCTCGAAAAAATCCGTTTCAGTCGATCTCGCGATGTCCGTCCCTCCGTCTGTATGTCTTGCTGGCTGGTTCACACGATAACTCTCGAAGGGAGTATCAGATTTGGTCCAAACTTGGTACATCGTTAAACTATTATCAAACTTAGATCGAGTTTGGAGATGGGCAACATCGGTCCACTCCTTTATGTACCTCTCCCACAAAAGGTTTAAATTTTTAAGAAAAATATTTTACTGCACAGACAGAGAAAGGATAATCCGATTTTGCTCCAACTTTGCAAATCCAAATATTTGCATCAGTGCTAGGTCCGATGCGAAAATGATCGGTCCACTCCATCAAGTACCTCCCTCACGAAGGGTCAACATTTTGAATAATTATACCTATTATAAAATGTGATGTAAGAGTACGATTGTCTTCAAATTACACACATCACAATATCTTTGGTACCTCCCCCACGAAGGGTCAAAATTTTGAATATCTATGAAGCTCATAAAACGCGAAATTGGCATCCGATTCCATTCAGACTTGGCATATCTCAATATTTCCATCAACATAAAATCTGTTATAAGGATGGTAGAGATCGGACCATTCTTTCTGGTACCTTCCCCGCAAAGGGTGGAAGTTTTGAAGAACCTAAACGATTATAAAATCCGAAATAAGCATCTTGTTCTCTTCATATTTCACACATCATATTCTACTAACACAAGTTCTGCTGTGAAGATGGAATATATCGACCAACTCCTTTTGGCACCTCCGCCACGAAGGGTACCCCTCTTGCATGGGGTCGAAATTTTAAATAATTATATCTCTCATAAAATGTGAAATAAGCATGCGACTCTCTTAGAGTTTCACACATCCCAATATTTCTATTAACACAAGATCTGGTGTGAAGATGAGATGTATTGACTTATTCCTTCTGGTACCTCCCCCCACAGAGAAATCAAATTTGCTATAGCAAAACACTCTAAAAATACGTAATAAACGTCCGATTCTTTTCAAACTCCACACATCTCAATATTTCTACTAACACAAGATATGGTGTGAAGATGATAGATATCGGCCTACGCCTTGTAGTACCTCCCCCACAAACGATCACACAAGTCTGCGATTCCATTCAAAGCTGGTATATCTTAATATTTCCCTCAACAAGATGTGTAATGTGAATGATTTTTTTTCTGCAGACTCCCTCTGATACCTCCTCCTTAAACCCATACTGGAATAATATAATTTTTCATTCAGTTTTCGCGGTTTTCTATTATTTATTCAAAATCAATGCAACAAATTTGGTTAAACCTATGGTACAATAAGGAGGTGGAACAGCTTCTCAAAATTACAGAAATACAGCTCTGAGGCTATGCCCGTTTCCTGTCAGAATTATTCAAAATTATATTCAACAAATTGTTTCCATTTTTTGCACATTTTTCCTCATTTTAAAAATAAGGATTTTAATTCGAAAATATGAGCTAGAATTTCCAATCTTTCAATTCCATGGCAAAACCCAAACTCTTCAAAATATTTTTTTTTTATTTCCCAAAAACTTTCACTTCTTCACATAAGAATGGAACCAAGGTAGATCTAACAGGTAACCGCATCGGCGAATTGCTACAACAAAGCAACTTTTGTGGTCCCCTCAAATGTCAAAATTGGCATCTAAGGCGAAAAACATAGATTCGCCATGACATTTAAAGGTTGCGGCAAATTTGTTTCAACCAATCAGAAACGAGGTTTTTGTTTACATTTTAATTTGTGTGCCTCTCGTCGTAAACGAACGTCGCAATTAAAGTTTTTATTGTAAAACAAATAAGAGTAAAATAAGTATTAATTGTAGTTTTGCGATATTTTTAAACCAAGAAACTTGTAATGACTATATTTTACTGGTTTAAACCGAATGTTTTCCGGAACTGCAAATGACAAGAGTCGAATTCTTGCACTACTTCCCGTGATGTGCTTTGGGAATCTTAGATGTTGAGGCTAACTTAATTCTTAAGCTGGAAATACATAAAGCGCTTATTTGGCTGGCTTAAGTCATCGGCTGGCTTCTTCGGAAATGAACAAAGGAGCCTAGGGCCAAAATCGAACTAAGTCAACCTAAAACTCCTTTGTTCATCTACGAAGAAGCCAGCCGATGACTTAAGCCAGCCAAATATGCGCTTTATGTGTTTCCATCCTTAAAGCTGCACTCCATTCTAACCTCCTTCCTTCACTTTCTTTTAATTTTTTACTGGTTTCACTCTTAACTTGCTCTTAAATTATTTGAAATATTATAAAAATGTACTTTTAGGGAAGACAACATAAACAAATTTGTTGTTGCATTCATTTAGGGCGAATTCGTCATTACAACAATTTGTTTTGACATTTAATGGTGCCGTCAGCTGGGCTGATGCGATTACCTAGTACATCTACCTTGAATGGAACATTTTTGTACCATCACAGAGTTGCATTTTAAAATGCTCAAAAATGCACCCATTTCAAATACACATACTTGCCTGCCATATTGAATACTTTCCAACACTACCAGTTTCCCTTTTGATTGTCATTTTCCATTGTTTACTTAATTCTTATCTTATTCTCTGTCTACTTGTAGACAAAACTCTATCCCACAGTTGGTCTACAAACACCCGGCGAAGAAGTTGATGCCAATTTTGGACAAGAACCTTTTAAATTTGATAAAATCGAAGAGATGATGCGAGACATGAGAGAAGAGATGAAGAAAACAATCTATGATTTTCCACTACCTGTCGAACAAGGCGATCCTACAACATTATTACAAAAGTAAGTAAAAAATGGAAATTGGAAACAATTATTAAAAACTCTACTAAATATGAATTTGTAATTTCCTCCTTGCAGAATGGTTAATTCATATCTGGTGCATAATGGCTACAGTCAAACAGCTGAGGCGTTTGCCCGTACAACGGGTCAGGCTCTTAGGGAAGATCTCTCATCCATGCGTAATAGACAAAGTAAGTGATGACATGTCATTTATGCTTTTAATGATTCTAAATAAATTTCTTTCCATTCTCCATTAGAAATTCTAAAACTAGTTATGTCCGGCCGTATGGGACAAGCCATAGAACAGACTTTGCGTTCATATCCTGGCCTCTTGGAGAACAATAAGAATCTATGGTTTATGCTAAAGTGTAGACAATTTATAGAAATGATCAATGGCTCGGATATTGAGGTATATACTGGCAATTTGTATGGTTCGATTTTTCTAAAATCAGTTTGAAAACCATGGAAAAATTACCATTTTCTTTGAGTAAATCTAAAATATTAATTTTGGTGTAAATCGATCATTTGGTTTTCAAACCTTTTTAGAAGAAAACATCATTATTTTGTATTTTTGTTCTTATCACAAATCTGTGTGTATTTTCGGTATAATAATATCACTTGATGTTTTTTCTTTCTTTTTTTTTCCAATTCTCTTTTTTTACATTACACATATTTCATATGACTATCTCGCTCTCTATATGCTTCTTCGATGGCTGTGATTTTTGTTTTGTTTTGCCACAATTCTTTGGAAATCCTTCTACCTGTTGTTGTTATTGTCTGTGTCACTCACTCCACTCACTTGACTGTGTTTCGTTGGTCGATGCTGCACAATGCACAAAATGTGGATTGGGTTCTCTTTTCAAATAGTACTGCCCCTCATCGTCTAATAATAAAACAATAACAACAAATGATATTGCAACAACAACAACACCATGCTCGGCTTCAAATCAAACATCGGTTATACAATCGACGAAATCGTATCAGAATGGGAATACAAATGATGATACCTCCGTGGCGGCATCAGCAACGGCCGTTGCCTCAACAAGCACCAACAATACCCCAACCACCACCAGCACCAACATCATCAACAACAGCAGCAGCAACAGCAATAATAGTAACAGCAACAATACCACAACAAACAGCAGCAGCAACAACAGCAATAATTGTAGTAGTAGTAGCAGCAGCAGTAATGGTAGTACCACCACCAATGCAACAGCAACAACAACCGCCAATAATACCAATAATTCAACAACAACAGCAGCAGCAGCAACACCAGCCACTGCCAACAACAATAGTGGCGTTAGCAGCAGCAGCAGCAACGCAGAGGCGACAGCAACAAATAATGCACAGAATACAAGCCACACAACTGTGATACATACAGATAATGATATAAAAACTGAATCGTGAGTATGGCAAACACCCTAAAACAACATGGAGCGATAGCTATGCTAACATGTACTTCTAAATTTGGAAGGGAGATAGAGTGATTACTTTACAGACTTTTATAACCTCAGCCATATGGCTATCATTTGATACGGCCAAAACGTGTCTCATCGAAATAACGCTTTTAGACCCTAGGTCTCTTTGGACGAAATCCCTTTCTGGATATTTGGAGTCGATCTAGCGATGCCCGCCCGTCCGTCTGTCTGTCTGGCTGGTGTGCACGATAACTCTCGAAGGGAGTATCCGATTTGGTCCAAACTTGGTACATCGTAATATTATCGTCAATCTTAGATTGAGTTCGGAGATGGGCAATATCGGTCCACTCCTTCTGGTAGCTCCCCCACTAAAGGTCGACATTTTCAAAAAAAAAAAGTATTTTACTGTACAGGAAGAGAAAGGGAAGTCCAATTTTGCTCCAACTTTGCAAATCCTAGTATTTGCATCAGTGCTAGGTCAGGTGCGAAAATGGACAATATCGGCCCACTCTATTGGTTACCTCTTTTACAAAGGGTCGAATTTTTTAATAATTATAATTCTTATAAAATGAGATGTAAGATTTCGATTGCCTTCAAATTTCACACATCATAATATTTGTATTAACCCAAGGTCTGGTCTGGAATATATCAGTCCACCCCTTCTTGTACCACCCCCCATAAAGTGTCAAAATTTTGTTTAACCATGAAGCTCATAAAAAGCGAAATTAACATTCGATTCCATTCAAATTTGGCACATCATAATATTTTCATCAAACACAAGATCTGCTATAAAGTTGGTAGAAGTCAGACAATTTCTTCTGGTACATCCCCCACAAATGGTCAACATTTTGAATAGCCAAAACGATCATTAAATCCGAAATAAGCATCCGATGCACTACATATTACACACATCACAATATTTTTATTAACCCAAGGTCTGGAGTGAAGATGGGATATATCGGTTCACTCCTTCTGGTACCTCGACCACATGGGTCAACATTTTGAAAATCCATGAAGCTCATAATATGCGAAATTAACATCCGATTCCATTCAGACTTGGCACATCTCAATATTTCTATCATCACAAGATCTGTTATAAAGATGGTAGTGATCGGAGCATTCCTTCTGGTACCTCCCCCACATAGCGTTCATATTTTTGAAGAACAAAAAGCTCAAAGAAAGCGAAATAGGCATCCAAATCTCTTCAAATATTCATCAAAATATATTTGCTATCTGATGTGAAGTTAATTAATATCTGCCAACCCGTTCTGGTACCTCACCCACAAAGGGTCACAATTTCCAATACTTATATCCGTCATAAATTGCAATACAAGTCGGCGATCCTTTGCAACTTGCTATATCTAAATATTTCTCTTAGCCAGAAATCTGATATGAATATGCTACGCAAAAAAATCGGATATTAATGTTCGATGTTCTTCAAATTTTGCACATACCAATATTTTTATCTGTGGTGCAATATATATCTGTTACCTCACGCATATTTTCAGATTTTCCAGAAATTTACACATATTTCATATAAAGTACAGGAAGTAGTCGATATAGTCCAAATCTGTCATGTTGTAATGTTTATATAAGACTTAGGTCACGTACAAATTGGACAATATTGGGCAAATGCTTCGGAACCTCTCCCATCAAGGGTCAACAGTTTGAATAATCATAACTCAAGGCTGGGGGTATGCACCTGTTGGCAAAACCGACTGATACTATTAAACTTTTACGGATCGGGCAAAGAAAGTTCAAAGAACTCGAGCGACATGGTCTCACACTTTTCTTTAGCAAATAGTAGTAGAAGAAGTATTATGATCCTTAAGAACCCCGAAGGAAGACAATAATATTTTAAAGAAAATGCATTTCAATTTTCTAAACTAAACCTGCGATTGTACTCATATTCTGGGTACACCCTTTGAGCATTTGTCCACAAAATTTTGTCCTTTTAGAGCACTTTCAATATTTTATTCTCAGTTTCTAATAATTTTCTTTGTTCCTGTTTCTATTTTTTTCCAACTTACAGTAATTTAGTTGAACATTGTTCGGCTTCCGGCGATGCTTCTAATACAATAAGTAAAAATAATAACGATAATGATTATCTTAATGATGTTGAAATGGAAAACAATGGTCACACTACAAATGGTAAGCTAAGACCGTCAGAAATGGGGAATTAGGCGATTTCAATTTCATTTTTTACCATTTTATTATTTTTCAGGAAATATATGCAAAAATGGCAATACAAATAACTTCAATGAATCAATAGATGCTGATGAAGAAATGGGTATGTCCTCTCGAGAATTTGGTTTCTTCAACTTTAACTTAAAAATGTTTCCTTTTTTTTGTTTTCCAGATGTTGATGTATCACCATCGATTCGCAAATATAGTCATGGCATTGAACGCATCCTGGAGTTTGGTAAAGATCTATCGCAAATGGGCCAGCAGCTGGAAAAGGAAAGCAAAATGACTGATGAAGAGAGACAAATGTTAGAAGTGAGTATAAAGTCGGCCTGCAAAAGAAGTTATAAAAGTGCAAAAATTTCCTTCGCAAATGTTCAACACAAAAACCGTTTAAAATTTGAAATATAATATATAGTGTATGTTGAAAAAATGTGTAGAAATTTAAGTCAGAGATTTTAGATCATTCCTTGTTCATTTACAATTTTGTTAGCAGTAGTGTTAAAAAAGCTACCCCAATCGATGGAAACTCAAATATATTTCAATATCCGTCCCTGTAACTTCTTAAAGAGTTCACATAAATGGCAAGTTGTCATGTGGACTTATTTGCAAAATTTATCAACAAATGAATGCTTCTAACGAAGTTCGAATGTCGTCAATTGCAACACCAATAGGAGTAGTTAAAGGGGATATCTTCAAATACTATCTTTCGCAAGCAGAGCTCAGATAGAACAAGACTTAAACTTGTAAAATATCAAAATCGACATGGCAACAGAGCAGCTTTAAACGTATAATGTTCCTGATACCAAAATCGACAGAAATTGGTAACCATACAAACCGCCTTCAGGACTTATTGTGGTCACTAGGCTATTGGTAACCATACAAACAGCATGTAGGAACCGGTGCGACAGCATAATAAAATGCTGTCAATGCAATACCTGCTTGAGTGTTACAGACAGAGCCAACCAAATCACCATCTGGTGGGGAAACCTCCGCCCAGCCAGTAAGGAAAGACCTTCATGATCTATAGAGAGGTACAGATGTATCAGAGAGCGCCTCTAGATCAACAGGCCTAGCAAGCGGGACTGACTAGTATTCACTCTAATGCGGTTTCAGAAGTCATTGAAGGATATAGAGTGAATACTGTGCTAGGAGACCATCCCCCTCCCGTCGCAGCTGAAGAACGAGAGCTGCCGCGACAAACCCGAGTAGTTTTGGCTCAATTACGATCCGGATGGTGCAGCCGTCTAAATTCCTATTGGGTCCGGATCGACAGCGATGTGCAGAACATCTGCTCAGCTTGTGGCACAGGTCCATATGACACGCTGCACATATTTTGCTGTCCAGACAAACCTATTCACCTTACTCAAGTCTCTTTGTGGACCCAACCCCTATAGGTTGCATTCTTTTTGAGACTGGACTTAGAAGCAGAACCCGATTGAGAGCAGTCAGATCGAACACAGCATTATGAGCTGCTACAACAACATCCAAGGTCTACCCAATCCGACACATTCAAGAAGTTGTACACATTTGCAAGCATTCTGTCAGAGATCTTGAAGAAACCCCTTATTCTTCAATGTTCCTCTTGTCTTGGTTTGACTGAAGTTATTGTCTGCGAAACTTCCTTAGAATGTTGAGCTCTCTTGGCATACCATCCAATACATTCCAAAACCAGTTAATACATTTGTAAGCATTATTGTTTGAGATCACGCTCACTCGCTCTTGTAACTTCGTATTCCCCGTTTTGGAATGTTAACTATTTCGTTTTGAAATATTAGGTTTTCCTATGCGATATGGGCTCAAAAAGTAGTATTTCCTGCGGAATAAAGGGCAGCTTGATTATACCTTGCTCCAGACTATAGGTATTTTTGAAATATTTTTCAGATTTTCCAAACGATTTTAGTCAAAATTTAGTAGTAAATCAGCTAGCAGTGCTTCGGAAATGATTAGTTTTTATATTTCCTGTTTCTTACCATTTTCTTCTCTTTTTCTTTCAGGATGCATTTAGTTTAATAGCTTATTCAAATCCTTGGGCAAGTCCTTTAGGTTGGCAATTGTGTCCAACAAAACGTGAGACTGTCTGTAGAGCTTTAAATTCAGCCATATTAGGTAAGTCGCCATAGACCCCCTAGACCTTAAATTCTCTACACAATTTTCTCACGATTTTTTCTATTTTTCAGAATCAATGAATTATGCAAAATGGCCACCATTGGAATACTGTGTGGCCCATGCCAATGAATTACTCAAGGTTATGGCTCAGGCCTCATTGGGCGCCTGTGGTTTTGTCAATATCTCGGATGTGTTTCCAAAAAACTGACCCGCTAGACCTTAGCTAAAGATGATTGATGATGAATGTAATGCTGCTAACACATCTTGTCTTGTTCGGGAAAATCAAAATTGTCGATTGGGCACGATTTCAAATAGAACAAGAACAACAACAACAACTCATACACAATTTCCTTTTGCCAGCAACAGTGGGGGTTTTATGAGAAAAACAATAACAAACAGCAACAACAATAATAATAATGCTGCTGCTGCTACTGCAATTGTCAACCGTACCCCCAACAATGTTGCCAACAATGCCGCCGATGCTGCAATAACTTCCTCTTCAGCAAATTGTTCTACATCTTCTGCTCATCCTCCACCACCAACTTCTCCAGCACCATAGGCCTTTTAAAAAATAAAGAAAAAAATGAAAACGAAATAAAAAAACAAGAATTACTATTGTCAATCAGTGCAGGACATACAGCAGATTTGTAGACGATAACTTTCTGTTTGCGTTTTTGAACTGCTGCTGTTTTTTTTTAATTTTAACGGATTTTTAAACACACAAAATGGATTGAAACTTTTTCCTTAATATTCACCCCCTCTCGTTTCTTCTTATATATTTATTATTGCAGCTATATTATTTTTAGTTACTTTAATTCTTTTTTTTTATTATTACAAAAAAATGATGATGTCTGAGACAAAAGAAAAAAAAAACAAAAAACAACAAGAGAAATATATCATTTTTAAAATTTTACAATGCTTATGGGCTTTGGATTGAAAAAAGGATATACAAAAGCAAAAGGAATAATATTTTTTTATGAGGGACAAGAAACCTCTTCCTGGTTCTAATGACTTCTGTGTGATAATTATGATTGGCTGAAACTAAACTAGACATATTTTCGAATTGATTTGATATTTTAAATGACTGGTAAAGGATACTCTTTTTTATTTTAGTTTTTTTTTTTACTATATTTTAATTCCGAAGGCAAATCTTAATCTTTCTTTCCCCAACACCTCAAGATCGAGCAGTGGTGTTACATTTATTTGTTGACCTCCTCTTCCATGGGTTCAAGTTCATTTGTGTTAATTCTATTTATAATTAATTGTGTTTCATTTTTTTTTTTTAATTTCGTTGTCTGAGCATATAAGAAATGGAAAAGTAGTAAGAAACAATTAAAAACTCTAACAACTTTTAGCAAGTAAGCCGAGAAATAGAGCAGAGCCGAGCAAAAGCAAAAAATCGCTAAGTGCAGTGAATGCAATTTCAAGAGAAAAAGAAGAAAACAAAAATAAATTGTAATAATTCTTAGGTTACTTTTTGAAGCTCCTTAAATATTACACGAATGAAAAGTGAAAAACAAATTACAGAGATATTAGAATATAAGAACGAAAAGCCGAAAACAAAATTATGCAAAACAAATAAAAAAAAACAAAATCATTAGAGTATGGAAAAAGTATATTATATGCAACATAAACAAGAAGATTTTAATTTTATTTGAGGAAAAGTAATCTTATATATTTACGAACAGAAAAAAACAAAACAATATATATATAAAGAAACCAACAAATCTATTTAATCAAAGTGTGTTGTTCATTTAATCAATAATAAAAAAAGCAAACCCTACCAACAAAAAATATTCTTAATAAATAAAAACAAAAAATCAATAATAATTATTAAACAAACAATTAGTATGAAGCTTTTTTTTGTCTTAAGGTGCATTATTAAGTAATACCATTAAACAAAAGTAATACTAAAATAATAATTATTAATAATAATAACAATAATGAATAACATAATATCGAACACCATATTATTAACAATTTTTAGTGTAAATTAAATGTAAAATTTACAACAACAACAACAAAAATAAACATCTTTTTGGAAAAATAAATTGAAAAATGATTGAAGGGATTTTTTGATGGGCATATTTAGAATAACAAAATCCAACATATTTTGGGGGAAAGTAAATTGAACTGATTGGTGGATTTTTTTAATTTATTAATTATTTTAATTATCGAAATTTTGAGACATTGATAATTGTGAAAACGAAGGTCTCCTTTGTAAAAGAACCAACATTCAAAACCTTCTAAGCAAATGCAAAGTGTATAACTACGATCGCCACATCGGACTAAGTCAAGCTCGGACTAGGAAGCTTGGATTCTATTGAGTTGGCGGTAGCCTGCCTCTAGAGCAAATAGGGAAAGGGGAGCAGATACTACTTATTGATCCCATGTATTTCGCACGTCACCTCCATGCCAACTACGGCTTTGATTCAACGCTACAAGATTCTTTAGTGACTAGGAAGTGGGACTGTCAGATTCAATTTTAAAACCACCACACATTTACACAATGTTATGCTTGAGATCGCCTTGTTGCAATGTCCTGTGCAAATTTCCTTATGTCTTTTTCAGCGTGTATTCTACATGGACACTTTCATTCTTAAGTATGTGGAGAATATTGGAGGTCGGGATATAACCAGTGATTATATATCACCCAGGCAAAGTTTCGAATCACTCGACATCCATATACCAAACTGGCAGATCTGGTCCCGGAACACACCACCTTTTAACGGTATAGCTATCTACACCGATGGTTCAAAGATGGAAAGTGGTTCGGGAGCGGGGGTCTTCTGTGAAAGCTTGAATATCCGGAGATCCTTTAAATTAGACAACGACTTCAGCGATTATTCAGGCAGAAACTTTGCTTTCATGAAAGCCATGGAGCTGTTGGGAAATAGAATCAATGAACTGAACAGACCAGTAATTATATACAAGGTGAGATAAAAAAAACAGCAACCAACTTCAAAAATACCAAATTGTCGATCACCTCATGCAAGCGCTTCGCCGGGAATGGACCAAAATACCGCAGAGCAACATTTGGGCAGGGTGTGACGGTTTCATTGGCCGTTTGAAGCCCATAATTCGTGCCAAGGATGACCAATTCGAACAAATCTAAATAAATCTATCCTATGATTTGATGCTATCGCCTCAAACAAAAGCCCACAGGACCCCGCTTCGACAAAAGAACAGGTGAGAGTTGTAATGTTCTTGATAATTTTTGATAATAATTGAAGTAGTTGTAGTAAATTTCTGGAGAAAGTTTTGCATCACTGTAAGGAATTCCAATAATACCTGATATATCGTCGAGAATGATTCATGTCAAATCGCTAATAAAAGAAAAATGCAAATGACAAAAGTTGTAATAAAATGGATTTTCATATAGGGTACTCACGGCATTCCTGTTACAGCATTTGAATAGTGTAGGTTCCCCAATCATTTTCGTATGTGACCACCTAATAACTTCTACATACTTTGATTTGCAGGCATTTTAATGTTTTATCTCATTTTCCATATGTTTAAGACCATATAAAAAATATCTCATAAACCCCGGGCTTCTGTAGCTACGGAAAATATTTTATCCTTTATTGCCGTATACCAATTCAATTCTTTTTATAATCAATAAAATATTGCTTTCTAAAAATACCAACACTCTATTTAAATGACAACCGACATATGCCGCCAAAAAGCCAAGGAGATAGAGGGAGATAAAGTAGAAAAACAATGCAGCAAGAGGGCAAATGTATTTGAGTCTGAATTAAAAGGTTCGTTTGTAAGTAGCTTTGTTTTTGCCATTCCTTGCGATAATTAATTAATAAAATAAAAATTTAATATGTCTTACTATTTACTTTGCTGTGGCTTAAAAAGGCAGATTTTAATCTATCATCTGTCTTGACAAATCTCTTTAAGTAATCTCCGTTACACGCGAGAGAGAGACACAACAAATTTCATAAAACAATTATTTGAAAACAACAGATGCATTAAAATATCTCTTCACCCGTCTACTTAAGACTATTTTCTTTAAGTATGTTATTTTATATTGTTATTAATACAAATTTGTTGCATTTACAATCAATTTAAACAATTAAAATCATTTATCCGTTACGTTTTCTCCCAACAGCCGACACATGACGGCAAAATGTGCCACAAAAAATACAACACTGGCCGGAAAAAATGCTACTACCCCAGGCATACAACCGTAAAGGGTGTCGTATTTATTGCTACGTTTCTATCAACCCTGCTCAGAGGTAGAAAAGTTTTGCGGGTCGAACAGAGAAATATTAGTTAAATTTCGCACAAAAAAACAAAAGTTAAATTTAACAAATTCCCCCAAAAAGTGTGCAATATTTTGAAAAGTGGTAAATGCAATAAATGAAAACAACAACAGTTTCATACAAACAAAGAACGTGCAAAGAAAAACGAAAAAGTTCTTAATGGGGCAAGAGTGGAAGAAATGAAAAAAAAACTAGTGTTAGCATACTGCAAAAAAGGAGCTGTGTGTGTTCAGTTTTCCCCTCCTCCTCCTCCAGTGCTGCTGCCCTTTCATATATCCATCGATGATATACATATTGTTGGAAAAATCCAAAGAAGTGAAAATACTTTTTTGAAAAATGAATTGAAGAAAAACGAAAAAAATATCAAATCAAGTGTTTAAAACAAAAACTAATATTTGGATCCTGTACATGAGTGGCTGATGAAAAATACTACACCTCCCTTCAAATTCAAAAAAGGGGCGAAAACGCGAAAGGAAAACACCAAAAATGTGTATGAATTCCAAATGGGGTTTGAATTAGGGTGGGGGAGTAGTAATAGTAAATGGATGTGAAACACCTTTTTTTGTTGCACGCTGAAGATGAAGCCCACAACTGTGGAGTAAAATCCTCAAAGGGCAGTTGTCTCCAGTCGCACACACACTGGACACGAGCTCTTGTTGCCCTGGCATTCATTTCAGTGGCCATTAGTCCAGATGATGGGTTGAATTTTCTTTCCTACGTTGGGCTGGAACATAAAAAATTGTAATTGTGTATACTTGTGAATAAAATATGTAGCAGCTAACCCCGCCGCTGTCGTCACTTTGATAGAGAACAGAGGCAGAGCGTGCCGTATACACCACACTGGGCTACCTTAGGGAGAGCACAACGGCACACACATTGAGAGAAACAGGGAGAGAAGCACATATTTAATTGATTAATAAATGATATTGCACAGTGCGGCCAAAAACTTGTGAAAAGTTATTAACAAAAAGTCTGTTGGTTTTGTTTATTTTTAATAACCAACAAAAGAAATAAAAAATGTGAAAATATGTTTAAAAAATGCTAAATGAAATGTTAACCATGTTTAGCGTGTGTTTGTGTGCTGCTCCTCACTTTTCCACTTGCCTTCATATGAAGTTAATCATCATTATTATTGTGGTGTTATCATCATTAGCATGTTGTTTTTCCATCGCCCATTCTAGACACATCTCCACCATCGGCAGCAGCAGCAGCAGCTGGTTTTTCTTTTTTGCCACTCCATGGAATAGCAAGCAGGCAGCTAGCTCACACATAAGAATGGGGTGGCATGTCGTGGTGGTGTTGTGTATAACGTGTATTTTTTACTCTCAGAGATCTCAGAGCAAACACAGCCATACGAACTAACCATAATAATCATGTAGAGCTATACAAATTCACCCGATGAGCATTTTTTTCTCATTGGATGAAGAACTCTCCCTTTTGCAGGGGGTGGAAATTGTATGTACGTGCTGGTTGTTTGTATACAGTGTTGCCGTTTGGCGATTTTTTCAAGGCATTTGGGTTAACTATTGATATATTAATTTTTTAATATTTTTAAAGGGGAAATAACTGAAATATCGAAATAAATTAAGAACATTTATCAAATTTAGAAAATCTTCAGTAACCTGTGTTGCAAATGTCACAGAGTCGAAAATCTAAGGTCCCGGCCAAAACCCGCCTATTTATCAAAACTGTTAGGTGTAGGATGGCGTAACCGGTGCTGGACATTCAAAAGAGGAATGGTTTTTGGTCGGCTATTAAGTTTAACTAACATATTAAGTCAACTAACAATATTGACCAATTCGTATCTGACCTAAGTCTGATATAAATATTACAATGTGCCAAATTTGGACTATATCGACTATTTCCTATACTTTATATGAGATATGTGTAAATTTTTGTAAAATGTGGAAATATGCATGAGGTAACAGATATAGCGGACCGAAGTATTCACCTAATACAGATAAAAATATTGTTATGTGCAAAATTTGAAAGAAATCGAACATTCATATCCAATTTTATGCGAAATCATAAATTCCATAAATTGGAAATTGTGACCCTTTGTGGGTGAGGTACCAAAAGGGGTTGACAGATGTATATCATCTTCACAACAGATCTTGGGTTAGCAAAAAGATTTGATTGTGTGGAATTTGAAGAGAGTTGGATGCTGATTTCGCTTTCTTTAAGCGTTTTGTTTTTTCAAAATCTTGAACTCTATGTGGGGGAGATACCAGAAGAAAGGGGCCGTTATCTCCCATCTTCTAAACAGATCTTCTGTTGATGGAAATATTGAGGTGTGCCAAGTCTGAATGGAATCGGACGTTAATTTCGTTTTTATGAGATTCATGAATATTCAAAATGTTGACCCTTTGTGGGGGAGATGCCAGAAGGAGTGGACCGATATGTTCCATATTCACACCAGGTCTTGGATTCATAAAAATAT